CATTGACAATATCAGGCTATCAGCTTTATTTGATGTTTAGCAATTTCCTGATTTATCCCTCATGTCATTTCCGGTTTGCATTTGTATGCGCTCTGGCCACGTCACGGGAGAGGGTCCAGCAGCAGCAGCGGCAGCAGCACGAAAAGAATTCCGTGCCACACAAAAATATGATAAGCATTGAAATGAAATTTTATGCTTTCCACAGCAGATATCAACCACGCCCCCCCCCATAGCACTCCTCCCATTCACCACTAACTTATGTATCTTTGTATCTGTTTTACGTGATTTTCAATGGCATTTCCTGCTTGCAGCAGCAGCAGCACAGCCAGAAGAGTGCTTCAATTTGTTGCCTATTTTTGTGGCTTTTGTTGATTCGATTTATCAATATTTATGCTGCAGTTTATCCCTTGGACAAATGATACGTTTTGATTACCTAAACGAAAAGATACATTTTGGGGGCAGAGAATACTTTTTCGAAGGAGAGTTCTGCTAGCAAGCCAATGGCATCCTTTTGGGCGTGCATTCAAGATTCAACCAGCAGCATTATTCATTCAACATTCATTATTTGGCTGCGTTTCCACATTAAATACATTTCAATATGAAAAAGTTCACAGTTCATTAGAAATTTCAAGTTAATTAAAATGCTCCAACATCATACAATCAATTGGATTTACAGACCGCAACAAAACACACACACACACACATGGCACACCCTCCTGCACACCCAGGACCCTTCACTCTACATCTGCCCGGCAGCTGCCTTTTGGCTCCTTTTGTTCTGTTCTGTTCTTTTTTTTTTGTTTTTGTTCAGGAAACATTATTTTTATGCAAAACATGAACATTTAATAGAACGCTATACGAATTTTTAATGAGGTTTTTCCAGCCGTAAAAAGCAATGGCAGCAGACGGAGGCAGCAGGCATGAGGCAGTGTGGCATGTGTGGGCGTGGCTTTCCTTTTTTCGTGTGTATGAAGCATTTTACATGTTTTATGAGTTTCCCTCCCTCTCCCCTTCTCTCTCTCTCTTTTGCTCAGGTGCAGCGCCCCCCCATCACCGTTTTACGGCTGTGGCGCCCCACACTCCGGATGTACCCCACGTACGGGTAATCAAATCAGTTGGTGCCCCATCTGCGTGCGTCACATAAATTTGCCAACATTTAGCAGATAATGAGCCACAATTAGCAAATGGCCAAAGCCACACAGAAAACGAGAGAGAGAGAAAGAGAGAGAGAGACGCAGAGAGGAGTCACTCTCTCCCTAAGAATTAGCTGACAAATCCAAAGGTAACTTTCTGGCAGATTTTATGACAACATTTTTGAAGGGCAGTTCTCTGGCAGAGACCTCCTGCACTCCCTAGAGTCCTCTGCAACTTCGTGCCACACCCCTCGCAAGTCTCTTCTGCCGCAGAGTCTCTTTTGATAACCCTGAAAGAGGATCCCATCCCCATCCTTCTGCAGAACTCCTCCAATGTCCCATGTCCCCATGTCCAATGTCCAGTCAAATCTTTGGCATTAATTTCTCAAAGCCGCCGCTCCGTGCCCCTCCCTGTGTGCCACTCCTAAGTAAATTATCGTGTTTCCACCTTTCCAGCGGCACTCAGTCACTGGCTTTCATGGGTAAACACATCTTATAAATTATTCAGAAACGCAAAAAAGCTATTTGCAACACTTTACCGTTGGCGCAGAGAGGGGGGCAGTGCTGGGTGCTGGGCAGACATTTTTTAGCATTTCTTTTTGGCGGCGGGGCGGCAACGATGTCGCAGCAATCACTCAAAAACTGTGGCGCCGCAACATATGCGTGTGCGGAGGGAGGAGGAGCTGGAGCTGGAGTCCGAAGGGAAAACTCTGCATCTTCGCAGGTAAGCCCGGAAAAAAAGCATGACAAATGAAATGTTCAACTTGCGCTTAAAGCCAGCAACAACAAACGCCCCCCCCCCCTTACACCACACCCAACCCTGAGGCAAGGAAAAATAAATTTTTGTAGTATATTTTTTGGAGCGAAGTAAACTGAAGTTGACTTGAGGCAGGGACTTGACTGGGGGGAGTAGCAGTGTGTAGTGGCATGGCATCGTGTTTTTTGGCCTGACAAAGTGGCTCGTCTTACTGCCAGTGTGGGGCGGCGGAAAGGGGCTGGCTGGCTGTCCAGAACCACCCCACTTCATGCTACCCCTTGAGTTCTTGTGGGTAGCTTCTTCCTTGGCTGCTTGGCTGCTTGGCTGCTCCTGGTGGCGGCGGGCTTCCTTTTGCGAGCTGTCGCACGCTAAAGCTTCGCTCAAATATTTAACTTAAGTAAGCGTTTGTAATTAATTTCACGCTTAATACTGACACTCTACCGCGCTTTTCAACACTTTTTCTCACTCCATTTCGTGCACCCGTGCTTCCCGTTGCCTGCTCCATTTTATGGCATAATAAACACGCATTTTATAATAAAGTCAAAAAAATTGACTGCATAATTTATGGGTCAGAGTGGGAGAGTCGGTGAGAGAGAGGGAGGCAAGAGAGTGTTTTGTGGCAGGCGCTCTCTTCCCTTTTTTGGTCGTAATTGATGTTCTTTGCCCTGCAATTAACCCTCCCCTTCCGCGCAGCCCCTTAACCGCTGTTTGGGAACCCACTTGAAAGATTTATTCTTTTTGTGGACGAGTTATGTGACGCGAAGAGTTTTGCCTTTTGGCTGAGAGATGTCTACCAATTACACGCAATTAACTGCCGCACAAATGTCGCGCACGCATGCCACAAATGAGGTGGGGCAGCTAAGCTTTTCTTATGTGGAAAAGAGTCTGTAAAGAAAATATATAATGGAGAGGCTGCAGATTACTTGCTTCTGGGAATCGCAAGTACTTTCATCTTCGAGAAAAAGAAATCTCGAATAGAAACCACTCCAATAAAAGGAGTCAAATGTGGGGGGGTGTAAATGGGGCCAAAATATCGGCAGAAGAGGCCCTCCGGGGCACTCCTTTAATTTATGATTACTTTTTTCTGTTTCAAATCTTCGAACAACCGGAGAGATAGAAACTCGACTCATTGTCATGCTTTGGCGTTGGCTTTGGCGTTGGCGTTTCATTCGCATTTCATTATCGACAGCTGTCGCCTGTCAATCCTTCACAGTGTTCCGCGCGGATGGAGGGGGGAGTGGTGAGTGGTGAGTGGGGGATGTGTGCCACATATTTTACATGCTCCGGCTATTGACAACGCATATTGATCATCCTTTAGCATAAATCGTTGTGGCAACAGAATGCTGCATTTTCCTGCTCTGCGCTGCTCTGCTCTGCTCTGCTGCATATGCGATGCATTGCAATTTCGACTGCGATGAGATGCGATGCTGGAAAGCGATTATTCCACTTTCTGTTTCCTGCTTTTTTTCCCCTCTGCCGCTGTTGCTGCTGCTGCTGCTGCTGCTGCTGTGCATAATTCATGACTGAGTAGTACTGTATATTAACTGCTGTCATGTTTAATTAATTTTCTGTTTGGCCAATTAGCATGCAACTGGAGTTGGAGTGAGGTGGAGGAAGCTTCCTGCTGCCTGCCTGCCTGCCACATGTATCAGCAGCAGCAGCAGCAGCAAATTGAATTTTGTTCAAATGCAAACCGAATATCTGCATCTTTTCCCGCATCTGCATCCCCTGTATCTTTCGGGGTCGAGCTGTGCGATTGTGGAAATGTTTGCCCTCTGAAGGGGAAGAGAAATGTAACAATTAGTCGCACAGGCAGTGCCTGCCTGCCAGTCCCTCCCTCCTCTTAGCTGCACAGATGTAATTTCAAATCTGTAAAATGTATCTTATGCCTGGCAACAGAGTCTGTCTGCTCCCCCCCCAAAATTCATGCCACAATCCCTGCCCTGCCCTGGCCTAGCCTGCCCTTTCCACTGTTATTCCCTTAATTATTTATGCAATTCATTTTTGGCTAAACTAATAAGTTCTTGCTGCTGTTGTTTTATCTCACAATGAAATAGTAGAGACGCTATGCAAATTACACACGCACACACACATGCACCCACACACACGTATGTCTCTCGCATATTCATTGAAACCAAATGAGCTGTGAGCTGTGAGCTGTGAGAGGCCCTGCAAGTCCTGCTGGATGTGTTGCTCCTTTCGTAAGCTCCAACGAATTATGACTGGCAGAGATCTTTGTCTCTGGCTTTGCCTCTCTGCCTCTGCCCCCTATGCAGCCATCTACCTGAAGACTACCCGAAACGAAAGTACTGCTACATTTACTTAATCAAACACATTTCTGATAAGCCAAATGGAAAATGCTTTTCCCCCAACAGATTTAGTACACTTTTCCCATGTGGAAGTGGCTGCATTTACATGCTCATATAATATATATTCTACTGCTAATGGAAGGAAGGTATGGCAATCGGATGGAGCACCTTTTCAGTAGAACAGAAACATCTTCAAAATATTCAAATGACTTCACCGTAAACATTCAAATTATCCTCACTACTGGAGTGACTAATTCTCAGGGGAGCAACATACAGAAAATGCATACGGAAATAAATAAACATTAGTTTGGTTTCTGCTATGGACTGATCCTTCGCTGGAGGATAAAAAATAAAATAAATTAAAAATGAACAAATTCTCGGGCTTTATTTTTCTCTCGTTCTCTTTAACAGAAAGTCAAAGAAATGAAACAAGAAAAACTGCAAGATCGAAGCGAAGCAGCTGATTACCGCGTGCCTCGTGGCTAGCTGCAGCTGCACTGCAGTTGTGGCAGTATGTGGCATTGAATCACCTGACTTTGCTCAGTTATATTTATTATTTATGTACTTCCGCATATAGACACGACACACTCCACTTTCCATGAACCCATTGGGACAGTCGAACGACAGGCTGAAGGTTATTGGGTCAAAGCCAGATAAGGAAGACCTTGGCCACCTTCGTGGATAAGCAAACAGTTTGCCCCTCCACCCGATAAGACTGCAAATACTCGCAAGCTACGCGGCTGGTGGGCTGGTGGGCTGGTGGGTCTGTTGACTTTTGGCCGCCGATAAGTTTCGTATAAAACCAGAGCCAAGAGGCAGAGTCCCCAATCAGTCAGAGAAATGTTCTACTCGCTGGGATTTGCATTCGGGCTGTCGCTGCTTCTTGGGGCGGCGTCTGCTGGCACTCCTGCCACCGATGGACGCATTGTGGGCGGCATGCAGGTGTCCACCATCGGGGAGTTTCCCTACCAGGCCTCCGTGCAGCTGAATGGCCAGCACATCTGCGGCGGCGCCGTCATCGGGGATCACTTTGTGCTGACGGCCGCCCACTGCTTCGAGGCGCTGGAACCCTGGAGCGTCCTCGACTACAGCGTGCGGGTGGGCTCCAGCGAGCACGCGACTGGCGGCCACTTGCTCAGCCTGCAGCAGATCATTCCCCACGGCGGCTACAATCCCCAGAGCCACGACAACGACCTGGCGCTGCTCATCCTCAATGCCAGGCTCAATTTCACCGAGCAGCTGCAGGCGGTGCCCCTGGCCAGCGCACAGGAGCGGCCCACACCCGGAACGCGTCTTCTGGTCAGCGGCTGGGGCTTCCAGAGCGAGGAAGCAGCCGCAGAGCAGCAGATCGATGCTGGCTCTGGCTCTGGCGCTGGTGTGGCCTCCATTCTGCGCTACGTGGACGTGGACCACGTGGACATCGGACAGTGCCGTCTCGCCTACCGCCGGGTGCTGCCCATCACCCAGGGCATGCTCTGCGCGGCCCGCGCCGGCCACGACAGCTGCCAGGGCGACTCTGGGGGGCCGCTGGTCGGCTTCCAGGAGGACGGCCGTGCGACGCTGTACGGTATCGTGTCCTGGGGCCTGGGCTGTGCCAATCCGGACTACCCTGGCGTCTACACCAGTGTGGCGGCCTTTCGCCGCTGGATCGATGCACAGGTGGGGGCCTGGGGCTGGAACGCCCTACTGGGCGGCTGGAGTGGAGTGCAGTGAACGGGAGCGAAGCTCGTCTTGGGTGTTCGATGCATAAGTTAAGTTACCTGCTGCCGACCGCATTTACCACCAGCATTTGCTTTTCTTGCTGTGATTTCATTTGAATAAATCAATTGCCACACACACATTTCGCCGCACATTTGTTGCCACAAAACCGCAGCACACACACACCAGACCAGGCCTAAACCACTGGGTGGGAGAGAGTTCGTTAGTCCCTCAGCCCTCAGCCAGCCTGTCAGTCGCAGGAGTCATTTAGTCATTTAGTCAGTTGGCTGCTGCGGTTTTCACACTTTTTTGGCAGCTGCTGCCCTGCTGTCTGTCTGCCCCTCTGCCCATCTGCCCGTCTGTCGTTTATCTCTGGTGTTATTTCAATTTCTGTTTGGCTTATTTGTTGGCCAAGAGCCCAAAAAAGAGCCCAGAGTCGAGTCGAGTCGAGTGTGTGGTGTGGTGTGGTGTGGTTCAATGAACCGCCGCTTGCCACCAAATTGGATTGGCTTTCAACTTGCGGATTTGCGCCCTAATCTCGATACTCGGCTAATCGGCACACAGCAATCGAATAAATTGGCGCGGCTTAAAATTGCAAAACGGGCCTAAAGGCAAGAGAACTCAACTCAACTCAACTCAGCTCCTCAATCCTCAATCCCCGAGGGCCATAAATAAGCATAACTGTCGACAGAAAAAATAAACAGCCTCCACCCAAAAGGCAGGGAGGAGCGTGGCAGAGCCGTTCTTCATTTTTTTTCTGCCTGGAACAGGCAACAAATTTCCCTTCTAGAGCCCTGAATTAAAGCTGCAAGAATTATGTAATTTTTCACATAAATTGCCATGGAAAATATCGTTCGCCAGACAAGTTTTCGCCACCTGGCATGGGAATTATTCGACTTGCCAAAGCTTCGAGCATCGAAATCTATTTCTCTCTCCTCTCCCTTATTTCCCACACAGTTTTCTCTCCTTTGCTGTCAATTCTCTCTCTCCCCAAAACAGCCACAAAAACTCTCAGCACTCCATATGGAATTATCGTACATCAAAACAGGTAAATAAATAAATATATTGTGAAACAAATTAATCAAAAAAGGAACCTACGGATGGCTGCCTTCTACCGCTGACAGGATGAGTGGAAAACTGCTGTCTGGTGTCCTGAATGGCGTGCTCTGTGGCATTGGCGCGTACGGCTGCTGCAAGCTGGATCCCCTCGTGCAGCCCTTTGGCTACGTCGCCTGCGTACTGGCCTACACGCATGGCACCCTGGGACTGATCGGCTCGCTGCGGCACGCCCAGAACTGCCACAGCCCGCACTTGTGCCTCACGCGCACCCTCATGGAGGTCGGCCAGGTGACGCTGATCAACACCCAGTTCTACCACTCGTCGATGGGCAGCCGCAGAGCGCTGCTGTTTGGCCTGTCCATGGGCGGATTCGGCTACCTGGCGGTCAGGATGCCCAAAGTGATCTTGTGGCGCACGGCCATCGGATTCTTGAACGTGTTGTGTCTGCTCTGCATCGCCAGGCACACCGATGCCATGGGCAGCCACGTGCTGATGGCCCTCCTGTATGCGCTGGGCAGCGATGGCGTCTACTACCTGAAGGCCAATGCGCACGCCAGCTGCGGCGAGCGACTGTACGAAGTGTGCAGCATTGGCATCACTCACTTGGCCATAAGGGCATTCCGGGCCAAGCTGTAGAAGGGTTCAACCTGCCCGCAGCCAGCAGCCATCAGTTTGTTATATTTTTTAAAAGAATTAATAGAAATACAAAAAGAAGAAAAGAAAACTCTAGACCACGTTGCAGATTGCATTTTCCACTGTTAGCAGTGTGCCCCATGCACCATGCTACATTCGTTGCATGCACAAAACCCTTCAGAAGGGGGGTGTGTCTGTGTGTGTGTGTGTGGGTGTGGGTGTGTGTGTTTCTAGTTCTGTAACTCATTTGCAACTAAACTGAGTTCATTAAAGTTAATTTGAACGTGCAACATTGGAATGCTACGCGGCAAGGTAAGACAGAGAGAGAGAGAGGGTGGGAGGGAGAGTGGAGGGCGGTGGAGAGAGGGGACTCCTAGGGCTGCTGGCTACGTGGCTTAGCGTCGATAAGTTTGACATTTGCGCAACGTAAAATGACAACTGGGGAAAACGAAGCCAAGACAGGTACGTGGTACGGGTGCAAGGGTGCAAGGGGGCACGGGGGCCTGCACCTGCAAAATGAAAAAGTTGCCAACACTCGGCTGACATTTGCATTTGTCTTTGACGCACAGACACAGAGACAGAGCGAGAGAGAGAGAGAGAGAGAGAGAGGAGCACGCGTAAGTAGGAAAAAGAAAAACCTTTCAAATTAGGAGACACAAACTCCCTGGCCATGGAGTTGTCATCGCGCAGCACGTCTCCATCGTTCGTGAGGCGAGAGGCAAAAGAAATATGCAAATAATTAGCTACGGGGCAAAAAAAAAATTGTATTCCAACAAAAAATAGTGGGGAAACAACTGCAGAGAGGTGCAACTGCAACTGCCACTGCCACTGCCACTGCAACTCCTTCTCCGACTCCACTAATCAATTTGATGGAGAAGGAGCAGCACCGCCAGCCCCATTCCCTTCCCTCTTCTGTCGCTCCTTCAAAGGATAGGCAACTCAAAAACAAAGACATAAAGCGAGGCATTAGGAAGATTTGCATTGCCAAGCAGCTCGTACGAGTGGCACTTCTCTCCGTGCTACATACATACATCTATATCTATATATATTCCCTCCCTAGACAGCTTTTGCACACTTTGCCGCTTTTGTTATTCCGCGTATTATGTTGCCACATGCCACACACTCCACACACGCCACTTACATGGGGCACTAGCAAGCGAAAAGAATGCCACGCTTACCTGTAAAAAAGTGTACCCCTAATGGGGGGTATGCGAGTAGCATTGCCAGATATTCCCTGCATGCCAAAGGGTATGGTATCCCAAGCAGATGCAAAAACATTCCTGTGCGTAAGGTAAGCGAGGGAAACGCTGACGGGGGGACACAGTCAGAATGGGAGTGGCAGTGGGAGTGGGAAAGCTCGAATGGAAATGCTGAAAGGCACTAAAAGTATTATCTAAATGATAATTTGTTGCGTTGTGTTTGTGGCGTAATGCAATACATATGTACATAGAAATGAAGGCAAACAATAGATAGAATAGAATAGAATATGCTCTCCATGCTCTTTTTTTCTATTTACTTTTTCACTCTATCTCTCACTCTGTCACTCCTTCTTACCCTCCCCCACTCCCTTTCCCTTCCCCTTGCTCTGCCTCGCATTCGACTCATGGAAAATGTATGAAAAGTGTATTTCCGCTTCCTTTTTTTTCCACGTGCAGTCTGTCTTGGCATCGCTTGCTTTTTTGTTTTTTGTTTTAAAGGTTATTTGGTGTTCGCATTCAATGAACATTTCCTTAGCCTTATCCGAAAGCTTCTTCATCTAATAAATATCTTTATCGTGGATGCTTTGGCTCTGCTGCTGCTGCTGCCGCTGCTGCTGCTGCTGCTGCCGCTGCTGCTGCTGCTGCTGCTGCCGTTTCTGTTTCTGTTTTGCAGCAAAACTACTTCTCGTAAATAAACAATGCCCAAGGACATGGACATGGACATGGACAAGGGACCCAACCCTCCCCCTATAGATAAGTTTGTCAATTTGCAAAACTATTTATTCGCAGCCTTTTAACCCGAAAAAGAACTCAATCGAATGGGATAGAGAGAGGGAGAGAGCGAGAGCGATTCCAATGGCATGTGGCATCGCTTTGGGGGCTGCTTTGCCGCTTTACCTGCACTTTGGAGATCATTTGAAATCAATTGGAAATTGCAACGCACAACTTGCAATGCAATTAAATGACAAACAAAGTTCACAAAATTCAATTCGAGATACAACTACGGGCTCAGAGAATCGTTCAAGAGAAATGCAGCATACAGAATAGAGTGGAGTGGCTGTGGAGTGGCTGTGGAGTGTATCTGTGCATCTGTATCTGCGGACAAGTCAAATGCCGAAAGGCAAAACCGAAAGGCACAAAAAGAGCCAAAAGCAAAAGCAAAGCTCTGAAATGCTCTGAAATTCAATTCTGTTGCGCTCGATTGCGTTGCATTTCAATATAAATATTTATTTTATTTATATACCAAGAGTCAGCAGGGGCAGGGGTGCAACGATTCAGGGGGGGGGGGGGCTGGGGGTTTGGGGTTTGCACTGGAAGCACACAACACAAATGGACAGGGCGACAAGTTGCAGCTGACAGTAAAAGATGTTGTGGAGCCCATTTGTTTTAGTCGATGGCCAAGCAGCAGCAGCACCACCAGCAGCAGCACAAAGTCGAGTTCGAGTCCCCCTGCCCGCCAGTCGCCATTCGGAGCAGTAGTTGAGTTCCGAGGTTGTGTCGTCTCTTCTCTGCTCTCCGGTCTCTGTTCTGTTCTGGTATGTCCTTCTCTCAGTCTGTGACTGTCGCTCCCCCCATCTCTGCCGCTTGCACTGCATTCGAATTCAATTTTCAAACTGATTTACCCTGAATGTGTGTGTGTGTGTGTGTTGTGTGTTTGTGTGTCTGTAGCTGTGTATCTCTGCTGTCCGACTGCATTCGCCATAACTCTAGCTTTTGCCAGGGGTAACCAACTGTCACTGCTACAGTGTGGGGGAGGAGAGGTGGTTTAGGGGACTCGTCGTCGAAAGAGCATTAGTTGTGCCGAAGCAATTGCGTTTGGCATTTGGGGAATGCAATTGGAAATAAACATGCTGGCCAATTTGTACGGCCTAAAGGAAATTTGTTAGCATTTCTCAATCTCAAACTCAGTCGTGGGCAGGGGCAGTGGGCAGGGGGAACCGTAGTATAGTGCAGTGCATTTCTCTGATATTAACAGACTTCAGACCAGACCCGAGTTCAAGCATCGTTTTGTGCTACTTAAAGTGGATTAGAAATCACAATTTAACAGCAAATCAAATAGAAATCTACAATTTAGATTTCAGTGAAGATTCTTCGCCCATATAGAATTTAAGTCTGAGGCCTACAGCTGAGCTGATGATGCAAAATGCTCAGCCTTTTAGTCGTTCATTTGGTCATGATCCTTGCCTGATGCTCACACACTCACACACACACACACACTCTTTTTTGTCGCTGTGAGCTAGAGTTCATTCATGCACTCAGAGCCGCATTAAGTTCGTAATGCTGTGTGTAATTATTCCTCTTTGTTTAAATATTTCACAAAGATGCACTTAAAATGTCAGCGTGCAAAAACTGACGCGCCTTCACACACACACATACGCTTTAACTGTGTGTGTGTGTGTGTACGTTAGTATGTGGGTTTTGTAAGTGCCTTTTACTCGACTATGTTTATGCCCTTAAAAATGGGCAGTCATAACGCAGAGCGGAAGATCTTTAGTTTCTTATTTGTACAGATATCTGATGGAAACTTGGAAAATAAATTGCTTTCACTTTTTCTTTCTAGATTTAAACTATTCCATATTCATATTTATATATATAGTATACATATGTACATACATACATATGTATGCATGCGATTAATTCCAAGGTATTTTTGCTATTTTAAGGGCATTTAATGATGCGACTTTTCTATCTGTTTTGCATCTTACTTGTTTTATACATCTTTTTTTTTAGCTCTTTCATTATGATTTCACGTGTCTCTCTGCCTGTCTCTTCCTCCCTCTCTTGCATCATTTTGTGCATTTGCATTTTTATGAACATAGTGCTCTCTCTCTCTCTCGCTCGCTGTGTCTTCTCCTGCTCCTTGCAGTGTCCGTCCAACCTTTTCCTAACTCCCATAATGCATGTCTTTTATATGCGCATACACTAAACAAGCATAATGTATGTGTGTGTGAGTGTGAGTGTGTGTGGCGCAGAGCTACAGAGACGGCATTAAAGTATATTAAATTACTTAAGCCAGAGCTAGAGCCAGAGACAGAGAGAGAGAGAGAGAGAGGGGTAGCGACATATGCACAAGTTTTAAAGCATAATTTCTCAAGCATAAATCTTTGTGGCTTTTTCGCGAACAAACAAAAATTAGTTGCACTCTGCCACAGAATGGAGAATGGAATAGCAGGAGAGAGCGAGAGCGGGAGCGAGAGAGAGCGAGAGCGAGAGAGAGAGATTTTCACAAAATGACGTTGAAGAAGAAAAAAAAACACCATGCGAAAGCAACGGTAAATTATGCCCCACAATATGTCAGCGTGTTGCCAGGAAAAGACAGAGAGAGAGCACGAGTTCTCCCCACCCTCCCGTTCGTTCCCCCTTTGGCTGCACCGTTTGTCACACAGCATGCGGTCGTGGGGCGGCAGAGGCAGAGGCAGCCCCATTCCACGCTTAATCAGAAATTATTTGAAAATGTAAAGTCGACATGTCGGTCGGTGGTGCACGCACAGCGCGAGTGCAACCGCAGAGAACAAGCTCCTGCCGCCACCCACACACACACCCACACACACACCCACCCACCCATCGCCAGGACAACTGCAATTTGCACACGCCACGACCCCATGACCCACATCGCGTTTGGGGGCAAAACAACAACAAAACAAAACAAAACAAAAAGAAAGAAACAAAAACGAATGATGAAGAAAAAAACAGAGCAAAGAAATCTGTAACATGGAGCCAAAACAAAGGGAAGGCAGCAACAGAAACAGAACATGCGGGGAAAAAAAAAGAACAGAACCCCCAGAGAAGGAAAAGAAAGCTGCCCAAAGACAGAGGCAACCACCGAGGACTTTCATAGACTAATGCAAGACCTGGCACCACGCTGTGGTACGTACTGCCTGCCTGCCTGCCTGCCCCAACACAACACAACTGAGGAGCGGTGGTGGAGTCGTTGGAGTCTCCTCGGGGCTGCCTGCACACAGTCGTGGCTCATTTGTTTTTTTCAGACACAGAAAGGTCCAAGACGGAAAGCCCCAACGGAAACGAGTCGAAGCGGCTTGTACCCTGTTGAGATATCGAGACTGATTTTAGCCCCTGAGTTTAGCTACACAATCAGACATAAAAGAATCTTCAAAATTACTTAATCCTCTTCCCGCATTATGCTCCATTATCTGTCGCTGTCTGCATGTATCCCTATGTCTTTGTTACTTCCTTTTAGGGTATCTCATTCGCATATTAGTCTGCCATTGTGGGGACTCAAGACAATGGACCAGAACCAGAAACAGAACCAGAACCAACTTCATCTTGAACTACGCTGCCAAGTGGGTTGGTTGGCTCTTCTTTTCCTTTCAACAGATCTGCGTCCCACTACCGCTATGACTTCTTCTTCCCCTGAAATAATAAGTCATGTTAACCGAAAAGCGTGCGTCTGTCTTTTAGTTGCTGTTATTCTTCGCCGTCTTCTACGTTTACTCACTCAGGGCTCCCACCTCCCACCTCCTACCTCCTTCCTGCCTGCCTGCCTCCTACTGCTTGTGGCATCAACACACAAAAACTTTTCGCGCACAATCAGCTGCATTTCAACGTGGCACTGCATCATTGTTGCCCTGCCCTGCCCTGCCTTGCCACTGTTGTTGCAGCTCCGCTCCAGCTGCCATTGTTGCCTTTTGCTTATAATTTACTTTTACTTGTGCGGCGCGGGCTTTGGCTTTGTGCGCGGAACGGAGCGGAGCAGAGCAGAGCGGGGTGTGTCGTGTAAAATATGTATTTGTGCCCCTCAACTAGACTCCTGCAACGACAATGCTGGTGGTACGCAGGCATTAACCATAATAATTCTCATCCAAAGAATGAATCCTGGCATGAAGCTGAAGCTGAAGCTGAAAGCTTGCCAACGGAACACGTTCGTATGGCCAGAGTTTCCTTTTCCAAGCGGGCTCTCTTTCTCTCTCCCTCTTCTCTCTGTCATTGTTAATCAGCTGCTGGTAAACAAAAATTGCATTGAATGCAATGAAGGGTAGCGTTGCATGCCACAAATGAATGGAGCGAAGGTAATGTGGCAGGGCATGCATTATGCGATTGGAGTTTACTCATCTGATATGTGGCCACCCCAGCCCACAGAGAAACCTTCTGCAGCATGGAACAATTTTCTTTTAGAAGCGAAATAAGCACAAATTAGCTAGAGCCAATAATCGGATAAATCGGCCACGTAGATCGAAGGATTCATTGGCGGAGCTTACGCCGGGTATACTCCTTCCTTAGGTTAGAAATTTCGCTCCTATGATTGATCAAAAAAATATCAAAAATAAATTCATTTATTTCCGAGATTTATATGTCCCAAAGTCTGGTTTAAATTCCAAAATTACTGCAGATTTAGCTATATCTTATTCCCAAATGGATCATATGGAGACGGCTGATCATGGCGTTTCGATGATCCTTTGTCTAGGCAACGCTAAAGTAAGCGTCAATGCCCCATCTGTCCGCGGGACCCCTGCGCACAAGCCAGTGTCGCTTCCGATTGAGATATTGCAGAGGCTGGACGCATTTCTCACACCACTCCTTGTCCGACCTGTGTTGCTCCTTGTGACTCACGTTCCCCTGGCCGTTAAAATATGTGGGAGCGCGTATTATATACCTGCCAGAGGCCTTAGGCCGCTTTGTGTAGGTTCGCAGCATCGGGTACACCGCACGTCTTAGATCCATTTTTCGGTTAAAGTTTTTTTGTGTAAATTGAAATTTCGCTAAAAATTTCGAATTTTGTTCAATTGTTTGTCGACAGGCTCAGGCTAAGGCTCGTTGCCAAAGGCACAAACGAGTATGATGAAACCGTTGAAGTTTCTACCCAGACTTTTGTGATTATCCAAAAATGAATTGAATTCCAGTCCAATCTCTTTCGAATCCCCATTCTCATTCCCATCACATCTCATCATCATCATTCGAGTCGAGTAGAGTCGAAACGAAACGAAACTCTTTCAAAAGAACTTTAACTGCTGATTCCGCTTTCGGGTGAAGGGGAAGGGAAAGGGCAAGGAAAGCGGGAACTCAATTAGGCCGCGTGCACTCGCCGGGATTCATTCGATTCACTCAATTCGATAATCGATTAGATTGCCCATTTTTATGAGCAGCTTGGAAAATAAAATTGCTTACCAGTCACAAAACTTTGCCAAGTCATAAATACACACACATACATACATACATATACGAACGAACGTGCTAGCGTGTGTTTGTGTGTGTGTGTGTGTGTGGAATGGAAAGTTTTCCTCTGCCTCCTCTGTGGAAGCAATGCCCCCAAAAGTCAGGCCACGAAGCTAAAATAATTGATAACAGATTATGTTTTACAATCTAAGCAAAGAGCAGGTCGTCGTAGCACGAGAATTTTAATGGACGCATGTAGCGGGGCACACGTACAGAACACCCGGATGCCTCTCCGTCTACGACTATGGCTATGGCTATGGGGCTACGGACTCCTGTTCCGGCAGTGAGTTACCCGCAAAACGTTTGCAAAACTTAATTATTTCGTTTTGACCTTTTTGTGGGCCACACACGAGCATTCGAGAGTGGACCAAGAGAGTAATGGTGGGGGGTGCGGAGAGTGAATAGAGAGAAGAGGGCAGAGTGCAGAGAGATGGACAGTTAAAAAAGTTATTTATTTTATGGTCAAAAGTTACTTTGGCCTGTTTTATGGCTGCGGAAGTCAGAAAGGAAACGAAATCCTAGCCCCACAGTCAACGAACAGTGCTGACAATCTAGCTATTTTTTAGCTCTAAATTTATATGCTCTTAATCGTAATAAATTCAAGTACCCGAGAAACTGGAGCAAATAATATAAGAAACAATTAAATAAATAATGAAATACATAATGAATAAAACAATAAATTCACTCACTTTATCCTGCTCCACTCTCTTCTTTCTATCCAGATTTGAAATGCGTCACCTTATTGGAAGCCACTTGGAATGAGAGCGTGGAATGCTCTCTTGAAATGGAGAGCGAATTCGCATCTTTTTTTCACGCACGTATACACACGCACATAACGAAAATATGTTGAGACACCCAGGGCACTGATGCCGCATAATTTTTTCACATGAAAAAAATTCATTGCCTGAATAAGATACATAGTTATTTCACATATATATTTCACTTCACTTGCCATTTTATTCGCCGATCTGTCCCAGCAATTACAACGAAATTGATTTTTGAATTGAACAAACACTCTTTGGACATATTCCATGTTGACTTCTTCGCGCACTTTTTTTTCACGCACTCACACACACACACGGAACATATTTTGAGACTCCTCGACTTATTTTTGCACATGCAAATTTACTAAATTTAATTTAGAGATGTAGTTACAAATTTCACTTCACTTTCTGTTTACTTCGCCCCCACAATTGATCAGCAACATTTTTTACATTCCACACACACTTTTGGACATTTTCCATGCTGAAACTACACAAAAACGATTACACTCGGTAATTCTTCTCTCCTTCTGCTCTCCTTCTGCGCTTTGCTTTCCAATTGCTCGCTCTCCTACTGAATGTAATGCACAGTCCATTTATTAAGTTGTGCACTTGGACTGTCCGCGCACTGGAATTTGTGCCAGCCGACCAGATCTGTGTAGGGTGCTCTTCATGGATTCTGCACTCCGGCTCTCTTCTACCTTCGGGCTCATTTCTTTCAGCTCGTGAGTTGTTATAAGTATTCTTTCACGTAGTCTTGATTGGAAAATGCTTACAATATCTGTAGACACTAAACGAATGATATATAATTGCAACAATCGAATGAAACCAGATCTTGGGCTGCGAAGACGTGAGGCACCGTTAAAATAAAGCAGAAACCATAAAAATTTTCTCTTCCTTTTAGCTGTGTATTTTTTTCCGATTCTGTGCCTCTCTCTCCTCTCTTGAGAGAGTACGTGTAAATGTATGTATATTTTGCGACTGGTGTAATGAGAGTGCAACGAAAACAAGTAACGGTAAACCAAAATGAGGACGGTGCTCTCTCGCAGCAGAATCAGACTTTAGAAGAGGATTTCTCCATAAAAACTAAACCAAATAATATACATATGTATGTATGTATATTTTCTTAGCTCCTGTGGCAGCCAATTCTAGCTTCTTTTTTGGGGGGGCAGTCATCACTGGCTGCCTCGTGTGTGGCTTTTGGAATTTTCTCGAGCGTGCAGCATAAATCAAAAAAGGAAAAGATTATAACTATGTATGTAAACGTGGATCTTTGTTAAATTTTAATTGTGACCTCAGCCGTCGGAGGGAGCAGGGCCAGCAGCTCCCTAGGAAGCAGATCCAGTGCGAGCTGGCTCCTTGGAGGCGGACCCCGAGCGAGCTGGCTCCTTGGAAGCAGATCCAGCACGAGCTGGCTGCTTGGAGGCGGACCCAGTGCGAACCGAAATGCGCGAGGACCTGTTCTTCTTCTCATCGAAGACGACAACCGTGCCCGTGCGCTGGCCGGGATCCTCGGCAGCGTCGACAGCCTCGGTGGCTTCAGTGGCCCCGGCCTCCTCCGCGCCCTCGGCATTAGCAGTCGTTTGGTGGGATGCCGTGCTCAGCATGCTCGCGGCCGTCGTCAAATCTCCGCTGCTCTTCTTGGCGTCCAGCAGCTTCAGCACCGAGTCCTTGAAGAACAGCTTCTCGTCCAGCTGGCGGCGGAACAGGCCGGATGGGTGATCCGGATCGAAGACAATGTTGGGGCGTATATCCCCATCGGTGACCAGGACCTTGGCCCCGGGAATCGGGAGGAACTTGAACAGACGCTTGCGCAGCTTCGGCATGAAGGTGACCTTCTGGTGGTCGGGGACGTGGAAGAGCTTGCCGGTGATCTGGGCGGAGGGCAGCAGCACGGGGTGATCGATGAGGCGCCGCTCCTCGGGCAGGCTCTCCTTGATGGCCTCCAACTGGCGCGCAGTCAGCTGGAGTGGGCGATCGGCATCCTTCCAACGCTCCTGGCCGCTGTTGAAGGCGATCTTCTTGTTGTTCTTCAGCTGCTTCCGCACCGCCCGCTTGGCCACGCAGTTGTAGACGATCTTGGGCACGTACTCGGGCACCGGGAAGTTCCGCACCGAGATGGGAATGTGCAACGGATTGGTCACCATGTTGATGTACTTGGCATCGGCGAAGAGGTTGAGGTGCTTCTCCTTCTCCGGCTTCTTGGCCTCCTTCTTGGCGAGGACATCCTTCTTCTTCGGCTTGGGCTGGTCCTCCTTGGACATGAGGAAGATGTGCTTGTGGCCCCCACCCTTGACGTGAGCCCAATCCGGCTCGCAGTAGCGCTCCCTCTTGATCCGCCTGTACGGCAAGCGGCGGAACTTCAGGCGCTTCTGCTCGTCAATCAGCAGCTGCAGGCCCGGCTTGCTGATCTTACCCGACGGACAGGGACAGGCGTCCGCGTAGCTGGTTCCGTAACGCCCCGGCCCCGGCTCGAATGTGATGTGGCGCCGCAGCATCAGGCTGGGCTTGGTGGGGACGCACGACTGGCGCAGAAAGAGATGCGGATTGGGGCGAGCGGTCTTCTTCACCTTCGCCATGTTCTTCTGCACCTCGTAGATGTTCGTGTGGGTGTCGGCGGGCCCCGGATCGCTGGGATTACGCCAGCAGCCCGTCTCGCTGCAGACCATGAAGCGTGTGGTCGCTGGACGATCGCGAGCATCTAAGCGTGGGGGGGGTGGTGATCATTATTTGAGCAATCTCTAGAGTGCCGCTCCCGCTGCTTACTCGATAGGAAGATGCCCTTCTGCAGGTTGTCCCGCTTGAACAGGCGCTCGATCTCCGCCGGAAGGTCGTAGAACTTGAATGGCGGCGGCCTGATCGAGACGCGGCTGTGATTTGTGTGCGGCTTGGCGAACCGTGTCCCCTTGGAGCCCATCTTCGTGAGATACGGCACCGGTGGCACTCCATAGTGATTTGGCGGCAGCTGCCATCCCTTCCACGTGGTCATGGTGCGGCTGATGCGCAGGGCGCGACGCTCCGGATACGGATTCTTTGGCAGCTTGTCATAGCCCGTGATGTGGCGATAGTGGTCGAAGGTGGCCTTGCTGGCGCCCTCGCCGCGATTCTCTGCGGGCAAAAAAACGAAATTCGATTGCCATGGAAAGTCTTTTGCTGCGGCTTACCCTTCTTGCAATCCTGATTGTAATGCTTTCCGGCCAACTTGAACTGCTTCTTGACCTGCGGCAGTGTGTCCTCCCTGATGCGATTGCCTGTGGGAACAAGGGATTACTACCCAGAGACGCCACCTCGGATGACCTACGTGACAGCATGAAGAGCGGCACACTCATCCGGGTGGCCACGAAATTCTGCCGATCCTCATTGTTCAGTTTCGGGGGTTTCTTGTGCATGGCGCAAGTTTGATTTCAATTTTGTAGACTGTCGCAAAAAATATAAATATATATCCGTATATGTATATCGGATACGGCTGAGAGAAGCTCAACTGTTGATTCGTTCTATTAAATTAAATGGGATTAAATGTGTCAGAAATGCAAGGATTACTGAGGATTACTCCTAGAACACACAATTTGGTTGCGACCCCGAAGCCGGCCAAATACCAAATATATCGCTTTTCAATAGCCACCCGGTCAAAAGATATACATATGTATGTATGCATTCGATATCTATTTTCAATTCTCATAATATAAATTTAAAAATGATTTTTGTTTTCAAATTTTCAAAACAGGAGGGGTGGCGCCCCCAAGACGTGGGCCAATAAAACACGGGGATATAAAAAAAAAAATAAAAATTTTCAAAACAAAAATCAGATATAATTTTATTTGTTTTTAATTTGTATTATATTATTTATTAAAAATCGAGTTGCCTGGGAAATTGCCACATAAATGATTAATGATGATGGCATTCTTACAGCACTCTCACATAAGTTTGCTTGTTGAAATTCGATTTGTGACTTAACGAAGTGCACATAAACAAAGCAGCTTGTTTTTGTCCACCAATTCTTTATTAATAAACAATGACAAACACACACACATCAATGCCATTCAAAGAGCCACTCCACTCATTCGATGGCCAAAATAATTTGGTTACAAAGCCACAAAGATACATATATGTACATATGTAGATATGTATATGTGTATTTATCTGCAGCATACCCCCCTCCAACATGTAGCATCCATTCACACACACACACACACACACACACACACCGGGGCAGAGACGCACAGTGTGGCCGCATAATTAGCGTAGCGAAGCGAACTGATTAACTTGCATTCAACGATTTTCAATTGAATTTCGCAGTTGGTTGGTTTGTGCCGAAAAAAAAAGGAAGAGATAGCGAGACATCGAATAAAACAAGGAGGTGGAACTGTGGACGTTGCACGAGTCGAAGCGAAGCTCAAGATACCCTAGAAGGCTTCTAGAAAGTTATTCCAGTTATTCCTTCGGTATGCTGAAGCTTCTGCTTGCCAAACAGCTGCTCAAAACCATCATGCCATGCCCTCCATCCCGAAAAGGGTATGGTGAAAAGCCACTACAAAAAGTTGTGGGAAAGCAGGGACCTGCCGCCTGTCGTGTGACGGCGACGGCGACGGCAATCAGCCATGAAGGCGGTGCAGGGGCTGGCCCCAGGGCTGGAGTTGATCCGGCAGGGAGCTGGAAAGGAAAGGAACCAAACTGGGGACTGCGACTGGGGGACTGGGGAAAAATATGCAGCCGGGCAAATGATGAATGTGAAATGTGGCATTAATTAATTTGATTAAATGCAGGCAATCAGCCAAGCGCGGTAAGTCGCCCATAGGCGATGCCGTGCTGCAGCATGGGGCGGCAGGGGGGTGGAGCGGAGCGGACCTCTGTAAAGAGAGTCCCGCCATAAAGAGTAAAAGTACCGATAAAAGTTGCGGATTTCTTTTTATTATTTATCAACATTTTCATAGGTTTTGATGACCTTCGGCTTGAGTTCACCGGCTTGCCCTTGCCCTTGCCCTTGTTGGCCTTCGCCTCCTTCTTGGCCTTCTTAGCCTCCGCCTTGGCCTTCTTGGCGGCCTTCTTCTCCGCTTTGCGCTTCTTGGCCAGGTTCACTGCAAAACCAATAGAAGAGCAGAGCATTAGCTGCTGGCCCATAAGCTCTACAGCCAGTCTCCTGCTCCTCCTACTTACCCTTGACTATGCGGGCGGTGGCCAGGTTGGTGGGCAGCGGGGCACACTTGAAGCCCGCCGGCGGTGCCTTGCTCAGCCGGATGAACCGGAAGCCGGTGGCATAGAGCATACCGAGGCAGGCCTGCGGCCGGATGCGCGTCTTGGGCCATGGTGTGAAGTACAGGTCCTTCCGCTTCACCTCCGCCATCTTGGCGCCCTCCGTGTCGCGCCAGTAGTGCATCACGCGGCTGGTGGCGCGATTCTCCAGCTTCCAGCTGTGCCACTTGGGGTACTTCTGGTAGCTGGTCATGCAGCTGGGCTTGTCCACAAAGAACCAGACGTCGGCATCGGGATAGTACTTCATCTTGGCGGCGGCGGCGCTTCTCGCTTCTCGTTTCCGGCCTGAATAGGGACTCTAAAAATATTCCAAATATAAATTTTGAGGAAGCGAAACGAAATTCGTCTTCTGCTTGTTAAAAAAGAATTGCAAAATGAATTTTGAAATTTTGCATTCGAAATGAAATAATTTCAGAAAAGGCCAGGCTATTGTGATGCGAGATTTCGCATCTATGGATTGGCTTTGGATTTTGGAAACAATTTTTATCGTAATACAAATGCCTCTAGCAGTTTGTTCTGGGAATCTTTAAGGTATTTAGAGCAATGAGATAATTTTTTAGATATTTCCAAGACTTAAGTGTAGCTATAGCTATCGGAACAGTCCCTCCTAAGTTTATCTTGGATACTTTGAGGATTCATAGATCTGAAACAGAATCGGAAGAGTATATCCCATAGGTATTGAAATAGGGCTGTACATATGTAGATCTTCTTCTACCCATTACGAGTGTATTGTAATGTATATATCGTATATGTACAAAGAATTAATTGAAGCAGTTGATCTTATTTACATTTCATCGATGTTGAGCTTGTGAGCACAGAGAAGTCAATAGCTTCTTTACAGTATATAATTCAGTCAGAAAGAATAGAAACAATAACTAAACGAGAATGAGAACCATAGAGCTTACTTCAGGCTAAGACTTTTGGCAGAATTTCTTCCCTTTAATCCAAGAAAAAGTCCTACCTTTCCCTTCTTTCTTTCCCTTCCCATCAAATTTAACGTTTTTTTGTGGTCTTCTTTATTTACATAGTATATGTGTATACATCCCATACGCATATAGCTGTCATAGGAACAATTTGAAATGCTTGCAAAAGTTTCAATCCCCAAAGCAATTCCTTGCTGGCTTGCCTCTTGCTTTTCGAAAGTATTCTTCTTGAAAACTGTAACAATTTCCGGTTAAATGTCGAATGCCCAATGGAATTGAATTTATCGGTGGCTGTTAGCCGGTTGCAGGTTGCAGGTTGCATGTGGCAGGCACTTACCGCGACAAATGCTGTAAAAACTAAGCAGCACTTGCCGCAAAAAGTTGAGCTCATTAGGAGAGGAGGAGACGTGGCAGCAGCAGTCGAGTGTGGCTCTACTGCTGAGTAGAGCGAGTGAGTGGCCGCTTCGAAGGGACAAAGGTGATGTCGAAAAACTGTCAATTAGGTTTAATTATTTTATGCTGCAGGGGCAAGAAGAGGGCTTATGCAACCTCAACAAGGTGGCAAGGTGGCAGAGCCCTCTCTCTCTGTGTCTGTGTGTGTGTGTGTGTGTGTGTGTGTGTGTCTGTTGCTAAGCAAAGTCAATTATCCAAGCAGCTTTGATGCAAGTAATTGGCATAATGAAATTTTCTCTTCAGCCCAGCGCCACGACAGCACCCAAACCGCAAAGAATAGAAGCCGCAACATCATCAGCAGCAGAGCAGGAAAGAGGATCCGCAGGATGGCTCTGTGGCACTGTGGCAGTGGCAGTAACCATAACCGTATTAGCATATCAAGTGGGGGGGCACGGAAAAACTCTTCATTCTCTCTTTCTCCTTTCTTTTAGTTGTCTGCGTATTGAGTAAATATTTAAGCAGTCCGGCAGCTGTCGCCGGGCATTAATGGCATACATCAGGGCCAAAAACTTGAGCTTAAAAAGAAAAGCAGTCGAGGAAAAGCTGCTACGGCTGCTGCAGGCACTGTCCCAAAGTGCAAATATGTTGCGGCCAAAGCCGCAAAAACGTTTAAATATTTTATAAGCCAAAGGCACTTGCCAGAGACTGAGACAGGACTCGGAACCGACTAACTGCTGCTGCTGTTGCTGTTGCTGCTGCAGTTACCAAATCGTCAACAACCGGGACGACAAGGATACAGCCACACACGAGCCACAGTCCAGTGGGAATGGGGCTTTGGATTGGATGCTACGCGATGCGATACGATGCGATGCGATGCGATGCCAATCGCAAAGGTGCGGGCATATTGGCGGAGCGGGGAACTTCGTTGCCATCTTGGAGTTACTTGCTGTTTGTCTTTCAGTTGTCTGATGGCTTTACTTTGACAACTCTGGGCAGATCATCCCTCCTTTGCAGTGTGTGTGGCTTTATTGGTCTTTGAATGGGGTTAGAAGCTTTAAGAGGAGCCACAGCATATCAGTTGAAAGGATATCCACAGGGTCGACTATTCTGCTGCTGCTCCTCTGTTTTGGCCAGCAGCTCGTTTGGCATTCCCCTAATGCCATGAATTTTCGTTGGTTGCATTTCAGGCGCGACGAGGATGCTGCACATTGTCTTTGTCGTTTGTTCTGGTGTTTCGGGCAGGGCGGGGTGGGTTCGGGTTGGGTTTGGGCATGTGGCGCGCGGTGTAAGCTTGCGGCTTGCGGCTTGTTGCATTGTTCCGCTTCCACATGAACGACAGCTTTCCACACTCTTTTTTTTTATCGCTGCCATCGCCACTCTGCTACTTATTATGGCTGCTTTTTCTCTGCTTTCTTTTGCTCCGCGCCGCAAATTTCCATGGGGAGGCTCGACTCGAGTGGAGTGTGGCTGGCTGCTGGCTGCTGCGGCTGCAGCTGCTTCTCCCCATGTTGATTTCACACTCATGTGGAGACGCCTCGCAGTGGAGTTGGCCAAAAGTTAAAGCCCAAACGATTGCGATTTATCGCATTTCAGTTGAGTTTACTTCCATTCATGCTGCTTCGATTTGCATAATTGAGTTCTGGATATCGAAGAAACCGAACGATGGCTCCTCCTGCTGCTCCCTCTCATTTCTGGATAATTATGTCGCCCGTAGAGCAGCATCATCTGGTTTATGCTCGTCTTTATCGTTGCGCATTAAAAGGCTTTTAAAATTTATTGATATTACCGACTCTATTAAATTATGCCACCCCCCAGCCAGCGCCCACTCACTGCCGCCGGGCGACTATGTGTTGTCTTTGGTGGCATCCCATCCGCTCCTGCTGACTGATTCCTGCCAGTGGCATCAGCTCCAGCAGCAACATTTTCCGTCCGATGACTGACAGCAAAAATTGGCAATGCCAAAAGCATCAACGGCAGCAGCCCCAGCAACGACCCTGTGTGAAAGGGGAGCAGATGGAGCCATAACCGGAGGGTGGCACTGGCTGCGGGTGGATGGGGGATGCGGGGATGCAAACTCAATTTGTGTGAAAAATACTTTTAGTTACTGTGCATATTTTAAATGTAATACACAAGCAGAGCAGCCACAATGGCAACAGCAGCAACAGCAGCAGCAGCAGCAGCAGCAACAGCAGCAGCAGCGTGATGTGAATTTTATATACCAAAAACAAATATGAAGAACACGAAGGAAGGGCTGGCTATCGGATATGAGAAAACGACGGTTTGGCTACCCTAGCAGATCGATCAATCCAGTATTCCAGTATATTGATCCAATTTGTAAGAGCTAAGCTGAAACATATACAAAATAATGCAACAGATATTGTAGGCAGGCAGATATTATAGCTGCATATTACTGCATATATCTCTGATACATGGAGGGGTACAGTGGGGTGTCTGCGCGCCAAACAACTCCCTCGAATCGTTGTACCCTTTATTTCCAAGGGTATACAAAAATAATGCTTTACACTGTTCGATGTGAGCTGAAAATGGGATGAATTAATGCATAAAAGACTGGCAGCCATTGAAATCAGTTTATTATGCACACACACACACACACACACACACACACACACAGAAAGAGAGAAAAAAGAGAGAGCGAGAGCGTAGCATACGTGGCGTATGATTGATAAATTTGCACTTTGACAGCTCTCAAACACAGTAGAGACACAAGTTCAACGAACAGCAATGAAAAAAAGCTGCTAAGTGGCCAAGTGGCGGTAGGGGGGTTGGCATTAATTTATGAAACTTTAAAGCGAAGAATTTTTTTTAAATAATTTATGATGAGTGATTAAATGCAGACAACCATTGAGAACAGAGAAAAATCAAACAAAAATATAAATTATCCGAAACAATACAAAAGGACAAAATATTCAATCTGTACAAGCAGCACATAAAAACTTAACGTATTTAAAAATAAAAATACAAAATCACATAAAATTAATTTAAGCCCGCTTAAAGTCGCTATCTAAATCTTCGCTTTGAATCTGAAGTATCTGAAGGCAGAAATCATTGTACAAAAAAAAGACATCATCCAGCACCTCTGCCCCATTTCTGTCTGTCCAATTAGAATGCAACACGCACACACAAAAAACACAAAAAAAAAGAACAAAACAAAAACCAAAAAAAAAACAAAGAGAGAGAGAGAGGGGAATAAAAAGGAATCACATTTTGGCCAACATCACACTTCATTAGCACAGGTTATCGTTCCGTCTCTGTGTCTGTGTCTGTGTCTGTGACTGTGCCTCTGCCTGTGCTTGTGTGTGTATGCCACGCCCCTTTGGGTACCATTTGGTAAAATTTCGCATGCACATGGCGCAGACATTTGAAAAACGGCCAAAAAGCGACCATGACGATGGCAATGGCGATGGCTATGGCGATGGCTGTAGCGGTGCTGAGCTTGGGAAAACCCCCGAAAAATGCAAACTCCCAAGCACGGAAAAACTGCAAAGTTCGAAAACAGACACAGACGGACTAGAAAACGCGACTAGATTTGGTGGAGGAGGGGTAAATGGGTGGAGTGGTTGGGTGGGGTTAGCGCGGAGCCAGACACGTAACCCCTTTAGCTGGTGTCAAAGGCAACATACAAATTCGAAGCTGCAGCAGCAGCGGCAACAACAGCAGGAGGCAACAACGAAAAAAGGAAATGATGGGGCAAGGGATTGGTCGCCATAAATTATGCAGCACGCGGTGGATGCTGCAATCTGATGCCCTACCGATTCCTTGTGCCTCCCCCCCCTTCCGTACGTTGGACTCGACGGCTTTCAATTTGTGGCAGCCTCTGCCCCCTGCTGTTGCTGGGGCCCTGTTGCAACTTCATTTGCTGTTGGAGTCGTGAAGCTTAGCCATGGCTTTGTTGCTGCCCCCTGGAATGTGGCAACAACGGGCAGCAGCTCAATCATCAATCCGCCGCGTATCGGAGTTGGCAGTAGGCAGTAGGCAAAGGCAATCAAGAGGGACCCCCAGCCTGCCATGCCGTGCGTATTTTTGGGGAATGTTGTGAATGTGTCACCGATATGCGAACTGTGAACCATAAAGGAAGCTTTGCCCTTTCATGC